AGTCTGTATCCGTCTTCCTGTTGCAAATGAACAGCAGATCACCACAACAGGAAATTTGATTGCGAAGAAAACAGATTATATCAAGCTTATAGCTTAACACGACTGAAGCAGATCAAAAGGAAAGGGGATCCAGCGACCAAATAAACCCAATTACGAGGAGAGACCGTGCTACTGGCCAGAGCACGACCATCGGTGGAGCAATGCCGTGTGTCTGTGGCTAGCCCGCGCTGTTCAGCTGGGTTGTTGATTGAGTGATATGCTACCATCCTATTACAACTGTTAGCTTGATTTTAGCGGTTAATATTGCTGGTAGCCGAGGGACCCGGGGCTGTCTGGGGTGTCGGGACTATTTTATATATAGGCTACGTTGATCAACAGCTAGATGGGCGTACGTTTTGATCCAGCAGCCCCGACACGGCCAGATCGTCACATACTTGTAAATGTCTCCGTCTGCGCATTAGATTGCAGTTTAATGCGCAGGTGATATTGGTCACATGACTCATACTCCCATATTTTACAATTAAGGTGAGGTGAGGTGAAATTGGGTTTTACGTCGTGCTTGAGAATATTTCGCTCATATGACGACGTGCATGCGTGTGTATGTGTATGTGCGCCTGCTTGTACTAGCCCAGACTGAAGCTGGTTTTAAAGTGCTAGCTCACTGAGATACCATGCCGCAGTGAAGCATGAATACCCCACTCAGACACATTATACTGACTCCGAGCCGACCAGTCCTTGTTGTACCCATTAATGCCGAGCGCCAGGCAAGGACCAACAAGTACCATATTTTAACGTCTTTTGGTATGACGCGATCGGGGATCGAACCCGCGACCTTCCGCTCTCCGGGCGGACGCTCTAACCACTACACCACGGAGGCGGTTTTACAATTAAGAAATCAGCAGTAGGTCAATGTCTGTTATCATAACCTTCATTAATGGTCGGCGATGTAGGCACAAGTGTCAGTGATTAACGTGATCTCCGTCGTCGTTGTTGCAACATCATCTTCATAGCAAAAGAGAACGTTGATTCTTGATATAGTCTATAGTTTCATCACCATTGGTCGTCGCCGTCGTTGTCTTCATAAATATTAGCTGTTGTTAGTATTGTCATCGACGTCGTGATTAGTTTGTCAACGTGACCCGTGACGATCCGGGTTAGAAGTGATCTTCAGCAACCCATGCTTGTCGTAATGGGCGACCAACTGGATCGGGTGGTCAGGCTCGCTGACTTGGTTAACACAGGTCATCGTATCCCAGTTGTATAGACAGTTGCGTAGACCGATGCTCATGCTGTTGATCAGTGGATTGTCTGACCCAGACTTATAGCTGGAATATTGCTGAGTGCGGCGTAAAACTAAACTCACTCACTAACGTAGCCTGAACGTTCCCGACAATGGAGCATAGCGTCATGAAACATGAGAGAGAGAGAGAGAGAGAGAGAGAGAGAGAGAGAGAGAGAGAGAGAGAGAGAGAGAGAGAGAGAGAGAGAGAGAGAGAGAGAGAGAGAGAGAAAGAGAGAGAGTTTAAGCACTATGGGCCACCTTTATACTATGAGATGTTTTGTGACCAGAGTTGCCTGTTGTGTGTACATGTTGTCATCTGAAGTTTAACACGGACAGGCAATGTTTTCAAACCTCACTAACACTTTGCAGTGGGAACTACCTACAAACCTGCACGAGTTTTGTCCCTTGACACTGTTCCTGACGCCATTCTTACACAGTATTCAGGTCGTTGTCCATCGCGCAATACTGGCAATCGAGCGAGGTACCACGAAATGTATACCATCAGCCAACAACCTACAAACACACTTATAACTCGCTGTACTCAACGCTTAAAGCTCGAAGCGCTCAAAACGAACTAGCTAAGAAGGTCAAACTAGCTTAAACAGGTTTGTCTCAAAATTAATTAGGAGTATGTTATATCATGGCCATTCCATGAAAGGTCAGTGACTGTAGTTGACACTGGACCTCTGTCTATGACACGATTCTTTGGAGTTTTTCAGAACGACAGCAACTGGTTGTGTCGTCGCCTCACAGAAAGCACAACACGTATAAAAGCGCCAGTAAAATCCTTGTGTGTCCATCGTACTACGGGGAACTTCCAGTTGATTGTGTGAACGGAATATAATGATTTATCGCTTAACCTTTTCGCGAATATTGTATTATCTCAAATCATCCAAAGTACAGCTCATATATATGTGATGTGTCGGTATTTGTGATGGTGATATTTAGAACAGTGACATTGGTGATTTGAGAGGAAGTGAGAACAGTAGCAGGGGGTAAGCGGTGATGATGGTGGTGATGTGGTGGTGATGTTGAGAGGAAGTGTTGAGAGGAAGTGACATTTATTTGAGAGATAGTAGAACAGTGAGGGTGGTGATAAGCGGTGATGGGGTAAGCGGTGGTGATGGTTGATGAGAGAAGTTACATTTATTGTAGAACAGTAGGGTAAGCGGTGATGGTGGTGGTGATGTTGAGAGGAAGTGACATTTATTGTAGAACAGTAGGGGTAAGCGGTGATGGTGGTGGTGATGTTGATGTTGAGAGGAAGTGACATTTATTGTAGAACAGTAGGGGTAAGCGGTGATGGTGGTGGTGATGTTGAGAGGAAGTGACATTTATTGTAGAACAGTAGGGGTAAGCGGTGATGGTGGTGGTGATGTTGAGAGGAAGTGACATTTATTGTAGAACGGTAGGGGTAAGCGGTGTGCTAGTTAGTATATATAGAATGGGAGTTAGTATATATAGACTGATCTGGAAGGCTCTACAGCAGCAGGAATAACTTAGCGTATACTTATCCATCATTTTACAGAAAGTTCCAGATTAGGAACTCCTGGAAGCCTTTTGCATGTCAGCTTGACCGCTGCAGCCGCAGCAGCGTAAATATTTTCAGCAGCAGTCGTAGTAGTGGTGGTGGTGGTGGTGGTAGTAGTAGTAGTAGTAGTAGTAGAAGTAGTGGTAGTAGTAGTAGTAGCAGTAGTAGTAGTAGTAGTAGTAGTAGTAGTAGTAGTAGTAGTAGTAGAAGTAGCGGCTGTAGGTGTTGTATATGCAACAACATTATAACAAAAGCAACAGTTGTTTGTAACATTTTTATTACAAAAGTAATCAATAAAAATTTGAAAATATTTTAACAATTTGTTTGGTACAGATCAAATATATGCAACAAACTTTCAAACAAGTATATATCAGAACACAAGGTAACTACACCTATAAATATAAAAGCGCATCAATAATTCTTGAAAACAAGGTGGTATTTCATTAGAAGGTTCCGCGTTATCCGCATCGTATGTGCAAATTCTTCACAAAGGTGTTAGACAGACTGTATGTTGAATCATATTCCTTGTCTAGCGTTGCATGGAGTGAGAGAAGGACAGATAACTGCCCCGATGAAGTCGAATGAGTTAATACAGTTTTACGCCGCGCTTTTAACAACGTTTCCACTATTGTACGGGATGTCATCCACAGGACGCAGGTCACGTGAACAAGGTCGTACAAGTTTACAACAAAGTGAGATCTGCGACAAGGCTGGCACTGACTATCATAAAGTGTGGGAATCTGGCTCCGAGTTTAGCACATCCTTCAAGAAGATCAACTCCGCATATATTGTGGTAAAGGGTGTGGTTGTATAATTCATGCATTGTGTGCAGCCAGTGAGACATCTCACTTTGCTGTTACATGGAAGTACATTGCACACTGGATGAGAAAAATGTCCATTCTCTAGTGATCTACATTCTTTGTGAGTGATCAGAGACCGATCCAAGTCCCCCAATCATTTTGTTGCAAGGGTATTTTGCTTATATATAGATCATAACAAATCTAGATTAGGACCCATAATAAACGATCAAGCGTTTCAATATGAACAGTAAGTCACGCAACTCTTAACGGTGCATAAAGGGTGGTACGAGTGATCAGAACGGTTGATCTTTACGACCGTTTAAAATCCCTGCATGAATATAATGTACAATGCACAATTTATGGTGTCCGGCGACAAGATGTTGGAATATTGTTAAAAGCGGCGAAAAAACATGATTACCCTAAGCAATTGACTTATGTTTTAATATAGTTACAGTAAACTAGGGTTATCACAAACACGTTTACAACGAACTGATATCACGAACTTGCTTTTGTTGCGGGCACCTGCTCTATAAATAAGTCAGAATGTGTGTAACGAACTAATGTTAGCAGTGCCTGCATGCTCGTTATAACCGTAGCTGACTCTATATCAAGAAAAGGTGACCTTGGATAGATATATCAAATTGAAGAGGAATCGAACCCATGTCATTCAAGTGTCGATACAGGAACACGCCTATCACACCTACCTTTATTGCGATGACAAGATTTTATGGATGATCAAAACGTTATAAGAATCTATACCGAAACGTCGCCATGAAGAAGTTGATCATCCATAAAGTCTTGTCATCTCAAAACCACCAACTTCTAGAATGACACTCAAACACATACCCATATTGAGTTACTCAAACACACTAACAACCACACATATAAAAACGTCAAATATTATCCTAAACACTCACACCCAGTAGCACTGCTAGATGCATTGTCAAATAAAATAGGTTAGCGGGATCTTAATTGTCAAATCTTGCATTTTCAGCAATCGTCAAGTAATATCTTCAAAATTATGAAAAGTTTTATGTAAATGTGAACACATTGTTTCTATTCTGTACTACATTGTAAAGATGATGAATGACCTAAAACTCTTCACGTCGACATCTCGACAACGATAGAGCTAGTAAAGTTAGACTATTTTATCTCAATGATTGACAACGATAGAGCTAGTAAAGTTAGACTATTATCTCAATGATTGACAACGATAGAGCTAGTAAAGTTAGACTATTATCTCAATGATTGACAACGATAGAGCGAGTAAAGTTAGACTATTATCTCAATGATTGATAATGATAGAGCTAGTAAAGTTAGACTATTATCTCAATGATTGACAACGATAGAGCTAGTAAAGTTAGACTATTATCTCAATGATTGACGATAGAGATAGTAAAGTAAGACTATTATCTCAATGATTGACAACGATAGAGCTAGTAAAGTTAAACTATTATCTCAATGATTGACAACGATAGAGCTAGTAAAGTTAGACTATTATCTCAATGATTGACAACGATAGAGCTAGTAAAGTTAGACTATTATCTCAATGATTGACAACGATAGAGCGAGTAAAGTTAGACTATTATCTCAATGATTGACAACGATAGAGCTAGTAAAGTTAGACTATTATCTCAATGATTGACAACGATAGAGCGAGTAAAGTTAGACTATTATCTCAATGATTGACAACGATAGAGCTAGTAAAGTTAGACTATTATCTCAATGATTGACAACGATAGAGCTAGTAAAGTTAGACAATTATCTCAGTGATTGACAACGATAGAGCGAGTAAAGTTAGACTATTATCTCAATGATGATTGACGTCAACAATGTCAACTAAAGTATTATAAATGATTCACAGTTTCGTGTGTCCACGTAAAGGGTTTTCAGTTTCGGTTTCGGGTGCAGAGACTGAACATTAAATACATATTACCTTTGCATCAATAGGTAATCTTATCATAACACTATACCGTATACATTATACCACAAACCTTGAACCGCCTTGAACCGGGATCACACGACTGGTTAACAATATCATACACAACGACAGATGTATTACGGTGTGACAACTGGGCGGAGATCTGCGATGTTGACATGAACGATGCTTGAAGTATGTCTTGCTTTTCATCAGCAGTGTTCATTAAAGTACAGTCTGAGGTCTCCTTGTTGCAAAACATCACTTAAACACTTTTTTATATGTTCTGCGAAGGTCTCCTTGTTGCAACACATCACTTAAACGCATACATGTTGATTTGTTTCATGGAGGTCTCGTTGTTGCAACGAATCACTTAAACTCGAACAGTCTGACCTCCTTGTAATGTGAAGCAGCATAGAGCACCCCCGTATCGTCGCAACAGAGGCGGTAGGGGAAGACAATGTCACGGCGGGTCAGTATGTTCCTCACGAACTTCCCTTCTTCGCTCAGATGGACTACAAGTTGTTGTCTAGAGTCGGCCACGAGGATGTCGCCGGCCGGCGTCACAGTCATCCCACACGGATTTTCAAGTCTCTTCTCCTGAATATATCTGAACAACAACTGGCCTCGTTCTGACACGCAAACAATGGCGCCGTTCTGCTTATCATAAACAAGAATCTTATTAGGGAAGATGGTCTGGACGGTGAGAGGATGGTTGAATAAATTCTGACCCTCGGTGTCGGTGGCAATGGATTTGAGAATGTTCCCGCTGTAGTCAATGATGTCGACACAAGGCCGGCCATCAAGTGGGGCACTCACCGCCATCTTCTGGAAGCCTAAAGTCGCGATGTCATAGTAACGTCTCTGAGTGTGAATGATACTATGAGGGTGAAGGTCAGGTAGGACTTCGATGACCCGGATGAGGCGAGACTTGGGGACAGTGAGTGCCACCCTGTCGTCGATATTTGTAATCCCCGTAGTGTCTTTGTCCATAGACAGGTAGCTGGTTTGTATTTCCCCGTCTTCTCTACGGAAACCTTTGATCCTGCAGTTCGGTTTGTCTATGGCCACAATGATCTTCTTGTTGCTGGCCGTGACAACGGTGAAGTCGTAAACCCAGGCGTCCATGGAGTCGACAGGGAGGTCGAAGTTGATGGTGATGATGTGAACGGGGTCTTTTCCTGCCACCGTCGCAGCTGGCCCGGGTCTGGAGGGGGTGGCGCCGTTCGTTGATACATAGACAGGTGCCCTCGGCAACGGAGCGCTGACTTTCGGAGTTGTACTTTCTGAACATACGAAAGACGAAATGTCACATGCACATGTCACATTGACGTACACTCGACTGTGATTTATATTTGTGATTTTTATGTGAATTAAAATGAAGTTTAATGAACAACAAAAATATACTTTCAATCTAAAACACATTTTAGTAATTCTAAATTGATACTCAAAGTTATTATGCATTCAAGTAGACTGAACGTCCCCCTATTCCCGTCGTGTCACCTTTGACCTTCAAACAGAGCCACACATGGCACTTCCGGGCGTCGTGCAACATCGCCTCGGGGACATCCTCGGCAACAATGTGCTCAAGGTCGGCCAACACCCCGCCGGTATCTGCCTGCAGCTGCAGGAAGTCTGTACTGCTCAAAACCCGGTGACATACCTGGTTGCTCCTGAAACAATGGACAGTGGTTTCATGTACCTGTTTCACTGTGTACAGATTCTGTGTGTTTGTTGTGGTTATTTCAGTCATCAAGTTTAAATCTGTATCAACGGAGTAATATCTTGCATCTGCGACAGTCAATTCAGTTTTGGGAATTTGGCGCAGTGAAGTGCACTCCATCCTGCTTAATCATGTTTCGAGAAATCGGGGCCAGGGTTTTCATCGGCAGTTTACACAAATTCAGCCTTAGATAAAAGAATGAATGGATGAGCGAACGAACGAACTAACGAAATAAATGAATGAATGGATGGATGGATGAGCGAACGAACGAAATGAATGAAATGAATGAATGAATGAATGAATGAATGGATGGATGGATGAGCGAGCGAGCGAACGAACGAACGAACAAACGAACGCAGTAGTCGTGATATCAGGGTGTCACAAGTGAGTCCGCCATAGAACTGTCAATGCTCACCTTGCAGATTTGCATACGACCTCTGACCCCGACACCAATAACGTGTTCCCACTCTGTTGGAGTCTGCTCGCGACCTCCATCAGGAGCGTGCTAGAACCCGTATGTTGGGATGCCCATACCACTACCATGCCAGAGGTGTCAATATTCTCCGTTAGCAACACAAACTGATCCTTTGTAAGAAACCAAAGGTCCTGTTCGTCCTCAAAGTTTGCCTCATCCACAGCTTCTGTTGAGGACGACTTGGTCGCCTGTACTGCCTTGGACAAAGCTATTGAAGCAGCTAGGGCTTTCAGGATGTTCCGAAATTTGTCATCGTTCATACTCAGCGAGTCAGGAATACAGAAAGAAGAGGAACTGGACTTGATTCTCTCGATGGCGTCCTGGAAGGAGGCGTCGGACACAACGTCACTCTCCTGAAGAACACCGTACAGGGCACTGAAGTGTTCATCGGTAAAGTTACGAACCCGAGACACTAACCCCTTGGTAATCAGGAGATTATATTCCATCAGGGCTTCAGGATATTGCTTGACGAGCGTCACCACGACGACAGGTGCACTTTGTGACACGATACATACGTCACAGACGACCTCACAAGGGACCTTGTGGACGGGGATATTGATGGTGACGGAGAGCGAGTTAGCCAGATACACCAAACTCTGCTGATCCGAGCCATAGCTCTCCTCTATCCGAGAGCACAGATTCTTTACCAGTTCAGAAGGATTCCTTCTCATGTTCCGGGGGTAAAAGCTCACACCACCTGCAATTATCCACAGTAACGATCAGCAATTTAACAGGTGGGTTACTCAAACATATGGATAATATTTATTATAGGATATTTATATAGCGCACATATCCACGCAACTAGTGCATGCTCAAGGCGCTGAAGTACCCTTGTGATGATTAAGAGAGAAACGAATCAGATTTACCCCTTCTCTACTGAGCGAGTTATTAAATTTCCATGTCGCCAAAAATACAAAACAATTTTACTGAAACTTCGGATATTTATATGTAGAGTGAGTGAGTGAGTGAGTGACCGACCTTTGGGCGTTAAGTGACTGGCAATGTCGTCCAGGGACTTCCCGATTTGGTGTAGATTCGGCAGGAATGGATCATTGCTGGGGAGATCGAAATCGCGGCAGTTCTCCTCCTTGACGCGAGCTGAAACAAAAAGCTGAGACCATTAGCAGAATTTATATAAGCACAGTATATACCATCATAAATAGCAAATCGAAACACGATCACATTTTCGAGAAGTGTCCGTTTTACAACAGTCGCCATGTGCATGTGGAAGGAATGGCACCCCATGCCGACCCACACATCAGTACCAACGGGAGGGGCGCGGGGTAGCCCAATGGTTCAAGGGTTCACTCTTTACGCCGAAGGCCTGGGTTCTATTCCATTCATGGTACATTGTGTGAAGCCCACCTTGTGTCCCTCGCCGTGACATTGCTAAAAGCGGAGTAAAATTTAACTCACTCACTCTGTGACAACAGGAAACACAACATATACATGTACCTATGTTTATAACTGCAGGACCCATTTGAATACAAAATCAAACGAAATTCTTCTGAAATGGATAATCACTGTTGGTGATGTCCGTCTGTGTGTTATAAACACAATGACCCGTTATGATAGGCACACACTTCCTTCTACATTTATTGAGGAACCTGTTACTACGCATTGGAAACCAGGAACATGTCGGGTCAAGTGGGAGTGTCACTGGGGTGAGCGCGTGACGCGAGCCTGAGTGGAGCCTCCTCGGGTTCAGATCTTGGCTGTAGTACCGAATATTTAAATTTTCAAACTGATGAAAAACCATGGAAATTCAGGGGAAGCCACAAAACAGAGAAACACGCAGATAACGGGAAATCTGTGTAATTATGAGAATTTCGTATGTTTCGTCCTCGTGTCACTTGACTGACCCTGTGTAATACCTGTATGTCTACAGCAGTCGGTTGTGTAAACCTGATGGCGGGGTGTGTTCTTCTGAGTGCATTCAGCGGTCTTCCGTCGATAGTTCAATTATTCAGAAAATCTCGGGCGATGCTAACAACTGCTAATACATACTCCTGTCATATCGCCAAGGTCAAGGTTCAAGGTCAGTGTTATTACGTCCATGACTGCCAACGTATTCACGGATATTTTCTTTACTGATAAATCTCACAACAGGACTTTTCAAATCCAAAGATTTCCTTATTACGAAACTGGAGGCGACACGTGACTACCCGATGCCCTTGACCTTCAACTACAAGAGTACAAAAGCGGAGGCGGATTCTTTAAAAGGCGTTTTTCTGCCTACACGACGTCGCGGGGACGAGGACAATACTTCCATACAGCCGGATAATGGCAACCATACCACGATACGTTTATATGTGTGACGTTTGCAATCACAATACAACTGAATTCGAATTCAAAGTAATCCACTCCGCTCAGACACTTAGCATCCGAATGCTCCCCCGTGGTAATTCCAGGTTAAACCAGGTCGCAGTAACTTATGCCAAGACATAAGAGACGACTCAATGGATCTGGTGCCCCGGATCCAGTTTCACAAAGCTATCGTGGCACTACGACGGTCGTACCTCCTGTGCTGCCACTAGATTTTCGAAGCTCTCTTAACGCTAAGAATGTCGTAAGTGCCATACATTAACATTAATTTACGACTATCTTAGCGCTAAGACAGCTTCGAAAATCTAGGCCATAGACTTATACCTCCTCTACTGTAACATAGACTTACGATAGTCGTAGCGCTACGATAGCTCTGTGACACGGGGCCCAGGCTCGTTGACTGGCTGCCGTTCCCTGGTATTACCATGATTAGAATTATGACGTTGTTGTTGTACGAAACGGTTCAGGGCCTAGATTTTCGAAGCTCTTTTAGCACTAAGATAGTCGTAAATTAATGTTAATGTATGGCACTTACGACATTCTTAGCGCTAAGAGAGCTTCGAAAATCTAGGCCCTGAGCCGTTTCGTACAACAACAACGTCATAATTCTAATCATGGCAATACCGGCTTCCAATCAACCTATCCTTATCACCCACCCTGTTGCTTTACTCGTTTTGCACGTCATATAATGTAGTTCATGAGTCTGGGTTCGAATCCCGGAGGAGACTCAATCCCTAAAACGAACTACAATCTGTACTTTACTCAGAAAGTGTAAATTCAAATATAACATATGTTACATCTGACCACTCTCTGAATGGCATTGTGTTTTCATAGCTTCGGCCATGGATGCATACCAGCTTCCACTTAAAGAAAGTACCTGGTCTGGACTACCAGCCATCAGACTTCCATTTTCTGGAAACAGTGGTGGGTTAGACGGCTGATTAGATGACTGACTCTGAGAGTGCGGGTTCGAATCCCGGATGGGACTCAACCAATAAAATGTATTGGAATCGGTACTTTACTGAGAAAGCCGTTGTAATCCCAAACATTACATTTGTAACAATATTACAGTTACATTCATACTTTCTTAAAGGCGTTGTGTATTCACCCTGCCTGTCTAATCCTATTTATTCTTTTAGGTATGGCATTCAGGAATCTTTTTTCAACCTTATCTGTCGTTAAACGTCAGACTATTACTAAACATCTATTATCTCCCTGTATAAAACCTTCCTACTTGACATTTCTGTACATTACTCGCTCTATAACAACATAAGCATCTACATGGAAATGTCGCTGTCGGTGCAATAAAGAAATTGTATGTATCCCCCTTGTTTATCAACACCTGTCGACCTGCAGTGGATCATCAATGCCTGCTAAACCTCTATTCTGCTTCTGTAGGCTTGGTGGTCCACTAAGTGGATTATTTTCAACCATTGAGAAACTTTCGGGTGTTTCAGATCTATCGGCAACATTTGTAGACTTGGGGTGAATCACCACTTTGATTTGGTGAAAACATTCCAGCGTCGCACTGTGATGACCGCGTTGACCAGAGACGGAGCTAGTTCTGTGGTATTGCAGACAGACAGGTGGCGCTTCAATATACGTAAGTAGCTAACAGGCTGGGCTTCATGACGACACTCGTCCTGCCGGAGACCGCGCCACCGACACAGGAGGCGTCAGTGTGACTCGCGTCAACGTCACTTACACAGTAGTACAAAACAAAACATGTACAGTATACATCGACTGGGATATACGGGGTTTTATCGCATGGGTATGTGAGCTGTTTAAGAACGGGATGAAAGTAAGGAACGTGTAACCATGGTTACTTTGGATTCATGTTTTGGACTGTGCCCAGTAGTATGAGCTCATGCACATAATCTATCTCTACCATCTACAAACTTGCGACCTTGTCTACACCGACCCATTTAGCTCTGTTCGGACAATTTAGATGATATGACACTTTACTTGAGATTTTAAAGACACATTCAATATAATTGCACTTATGGCTACACAGGCTGCTAGTACTAGTCTGGTCTGATTTTATAGTGCTAGCTCTCTGAGATACGCAGTTTAGTATGGTTGTCACAGTGATATGAAGTCACGATATAGTCTGAGTCAGTCTTGTTCCATCTAATAATATTTAACGCGAGGGCGGAAACCACAAGGAATACTTCAAACTATTTATGTATAGCGCGACCGAGAATCGAACCAGCGACCTTCCGCTCTCCTGACAGACGCTCTATCCGCTACACCACCGAGGCGGTTTCTACCCGTTCATGTGAGCTAACTACTTTTCTGTTTGATACAATAACCTCCATAGCCCGGACACCTTTCTTTCAGGACGTCTAAATGATGTCGGAACCGTGACTACGTGACTCACAATTATCCAAGGTATTCTGATATGAGAAATACTGAGATGCTATGTCATCGTACATTCGTCCTTCACCGAATTCCAACGCCATGACGCTGGAACGTACAGTAACAATACACGAGATATGACGTCACTTCCGAAATGAAGCTTAGGTGGTGAAATGGTCGAGATATATATCAACATAGAACGGTGAAATTTCACCGTGAAGTGATCGAAAATAAAACAGTGCAATTTAAGACGTCGTTGAACGACCGTTGACGTTGTTGACGTGGTCATTCTATTTCATGCATACAGCTTTTGCTTCAGCGCCTTCCACTTTGTTGTACAGAATATCGCTGAACGGACCACCTACACATTCTGACCGCTAGACGTACCTGTCATGTCGACCGCTAGACGTACCTGTCATGTAGACCGCTAGACGTACCTGTCATGTCGACCGCTAGACGTACCTACACATTCTGACCGCTAGACGTACCTGTCATGTCGACCGCTAGACGTACCTGTCATGTAGACCGCTAGACGTACCTGTCATGTCGACCGCTAGACGTACCTACACATTCTGACCGCTAGACATACCTGTCATGTCGACCGCTCGACGTACCTATCATGTCGACCGCTAGACGTACCTACACATTCTGACCGCTAGACGTACCTGTCATGTCGACCGCTAGACGTACCTACACATTCTGACCGCTAGACATACCTGTCATGTCGACCGCTAGAGGTACCTGTCATGTCGACCGCTAGACGTACCTACACATTCTGACCGCTAGACGTACCTGTCATGTCGACCGCTAGACGTACCTACATATTCTGACCGCTAGACGTACCTGTCATGTCGACCGCTGGACGTACCTACACATTCTGACCGCTAGACGTACCTGTCATGTCGACCGCTAGACGTACCTACACATTCTGACCGCTAGACATACCTGTCATGTCGACCGCTAGAGGTATCTCTCATGTCGACCGCTAGACGTACCTACACATTCTGACCGCCAGACGTACCTGTCATGTCGACCGCTAGACGTACCTACACATTCTGACCGCTAGACATACCTGTCATGTCGACCGCTAGAGGTACCTGTCATGTCGACCGCTAGACGTACCTGTCATGTCGACCGCTAGACATACCTGTCATGTAGACCGCTAGAGACGTACCTGTCATGTCGACCGCTAGACACGTACCTGTCATGTCGACCGCTAGACATACCTGTCATGTGGACCGCTAGACGTACCTGTCATGTAGACCGCTAGACGTACCTGTCATGTCGACCGCTAGACGTACCTACACATTCTGACCGCTAGACGTACCTGTCATGTCGACCGCTAGACGTACCTACACATTCTGACCGCTAGACGTACCTGTCATGTCGACCGCTAGACGTACCTGTCATGTAGACCGCTAGACGTACCTGTCATGTCGACCGCTAGACGTACCTACACATTCTGACCGCTAGACATACCTGTCATGTCGACCGCTCGACGTACCTACATATTCTGACCGCTAGACGTACCTGTCATGTCGACCGCTAGACGTACCTACACATTCTGACCGCTAGACGTACCTGTCATGTCGACCGCTAGACGTACCTACACATTCTGACCGCTAGACATACCTGTCATGTCGACCGCTAGAGGTACCTGTCATGTCGACCGCTAGACGTACCTACACATTCTGACCGCTAGACATACCTGTCATGTCGACCGCTAGACGTACCTACATATTCTGACCGCTAGACGTACCTGTCATGTCGACCGCTGGACGTACCTACACATTCTGACCGCTAGACGTACCTGTCATGTCGACCGCTAGACGTACCTACACATTCTGACCGCTAGACATACCTGTCATGTCGACCGCTAGAGGTATCTGTCATGTCGACCGCTAGACGTACCTACACATTCTGACCGCCAGACGTACCTGTCATGTCGACCGCTAGACGTACCTACACATTCTGACCGCTAGACATACCTGTCATGTCGACCGCTAGAGGTACCTGTCATGTCGACCGCTAGACGTACCTACACATTCTGACCGCTAGACATACCTGTCATGTCGACCGCTAGACGTACCTACATATTCTGACCGCTAGACGTACCTGTCATGTCGACCGCTGGACGTACCTACACATTCTGACCGCTAGACGTACCTGTCATGTCGACCGCTAGACGTACCTACACATTCTGACCGCTAGACATACCTGTCATGTCGACCGCTAGAGGTATCTGTCATGTCGACCGCTAGACGTACCTACACATTCTGACCGCCAGACGTACCTGTCATGTCGACCGCTAGACGTACCTACACATTCTGACCGCTAGACATACCTGTCATGTCGACCGCTAGAGGTACCTGTCATGTCGACCGCTAGACGTACCTGTCATGTCGACCGCTAGACATACCTGTCATGTCGACCGCTAGAGACGTACCTGTCATGTCGACCGCTAGACGTACCTGTCATGTCGACCGCTAGACGTACCTGTCATGTCGACCGCTAGACGTACCTGTCATGTGGACCGCTAGACGTACATGTCATGTGGACCGCTAGACGTACCTGTCATGTCGACCGCTAGACATACCTGTCATGTCGACCGCTAGACGTACCTGTCATGTGGACCGCTAGACGTACCTGTCATGTCGACCGCTAGACGTACCTGTCATGTCGACCGCTAGAGACGTACCTGTCATGTGGACCGCTAGACGTACCTGTCATGTGGACCGCTAGACGTACCTGCCATGTGGACCGCTAGACGTACCTGTCATGTCGACCCATAGAGGTACCTGTCATGTGGACCGCTAGAGACGTACCTGTCATGTGGACCGCTAGACATACCTGTCATGTGGACCGCTAGACGTACCTGTCATGTCGACCGCTAGACATACCTGTCATGTCGACCGCTAGACGTACCTGTCATGTCGACCGCTAGACACGTACCTGTCATGTGGACCGCTAGACATACCTGTCATGTGGACCGCTAGACATACCTGTCATGTGGACCGCTAGACGTACCTGTCATGTGGACCGCTAGACGTACCTGTCATGTCGACGATAAAACCAGGCTCCAGGACGTCGTCCCCTGAGTCCTGTCTCACTGGAACAAACATGTATCTATAGTAACAACCATCATCACTGTCATAAAAACCGTGGCAACACTAGTCAGTTGATTATTGTTACACTCGTCAAAGATCTTATGCTAACATTCGTCATTAAAGCCATTATAAGAATATCTGATTATACCAGGTAAAAAATCAAAAACGGAATCATGATAAAATATATTTAAATCATAATAAAAACTATAACATTAATAGTTTATAATACTTTAGTAACCATGGGTTTAAACTGAACGTCGAATCGAGAATTTCAACATTTGAACCAAATCAAACAAATATAATACTCACAATAAGTGAAGGACTACGAAACTTTCATGTAACTAAAGCTAATCTATCATGGCAGATAATTATTGTAATAAGAAGAAACCGCCTGTCATAGAAGTTTAATTATGGCCATGTGTAAGACTGGAGAGATGCTGGACTATTTTTGTTAATTTAAAATCATGATAATAGAATTATCGTTTTTCAACAACGCCAAACACGTCCCTACCTATATTCCCACTCTGTGGATCAGCGTGACCCACTTGAGACACAACAAGAAAGACTTGTATGATTTATCATCACGTGACTGTAACTCTACCCCTCGTTCAGCAGGGATTGGCACGGATCACTGGGGGTCATTGTGACATCACCGTGGGACGGGTCAAATTACATGCAGAAGCGAGTGGGTCCGGGTTTGTGTTTCAGTTTAAGGCAGCTAGAGGTTGCAGGTAAGTTTGACATAATAGTGAGTGAGAGAGTTTAGTTTTACGCTGCACTAAGCAATATTCCGATGACATGTGTCAACCAAGTCAGCGAGCCTGACCATCCGATCCCGTTAGTCGCTTCTTACGACAAGCATGGGTTACTGAAGGTTCATTCTAACCCGGACCTTCACGGTATTGACATAATACAATTCCATAAAGCAGGGTACAACAAGAACACGATTCGCACATCGTATGGATTCGAATCATGCAATGTTTCGTCAAAACAGGACTCACTGACCAATTTCCGTAAACATAAAGTCTGAAACACATAAGCCCATGAGGATGTTCATGGTCATGGTAAATCAAGCCATGATCGACACGAATACTGGATTCGAACCCACGACAAGCTAATTCTTACACTGTGTAGAAAAGCTGCAAAGCACCTATGGCCACTTAGTATAAGTAGGTATCATCAGTAAAAGAAATAAGTAGAGTGAAACCTCTTTAAAACGGACAGCAGAATTCCATGTGAAACAGCCCCGATTCCAGACTAAAGTCTCTGAATATATCTAATTTTGATTGTAACAAATATACCCATTTTAATTGAAAAGGAGCCCCAGGGAGACCAGACATTCGGAACTTGGGGAAATCTAGACTTGCTTCATTTAGAGCTTTAGCACTACAAGGAGGGATAGGCTGTAGGGACAATAATATGGTTCTGGGACTGCGAGACAGGCAGATTCACAAGATTTCTCTTTAACGAATGAAGGGTACGGATGTTGTTACTTCGTATATAATATGCGCCCAGATTCAATTGTCTTCTTGATGCTCTGGATTAACAGGGTCTGTACTGACGGGGTGTTATTGTATGATTATGGTACTAACCTGGACCACATCCTGCCATCTTCTACTTCTTGTGTTTGAAACTTTCTGTGAGTTTTCTGATCATCTTAAACCACCTCCTCCCATCCACGGGGACAATACTATTCTTCACCAGCCGAAATGACTTAGGACCGGAGTTCTCGTAAAACACGATCCCAGTTGTCTGTTTGACGGAGACTTCGACGACAGAGACGTCGTCGCCGGCGTTTTCGTTGTTGTTCCGAGTGTGCTCACTGGCGTTATGGAAAGCAACGTGGACGAAATTGGACGGAATTGGAACCTTTACTCCGTCGAAGTTGTAGATGAGGATGTTCTGATTCACAACCTCGTGTATCTTGTCTTTCAGAGGGCCGTGGAGATTGCCTGGCAGAGGAATACCGTGGACGTGCACGACCTTCGTGTAATAGTCTCCTTGTTTGGATCCCAATTCCCTTTCTTCGATTCCAAGAAAAAATGATCCCCCCGATTCGACCTTGGTGAAGGCACTGATGTACTCCCGGAGCCTCAGGTCCTTCCAGATGTATTCACACAACAAACCGACGTCCTTCAGAAGTTCCTCACGTTTTTTGGATTCAAGCAAGAATGCCTTGAGCTGTATATTCCGGCTCTCGTTGAGCTGCGCGAGATTTTGGATATTACCTCTGATCTGAGGGTCTCGGTCGGAGAACGTCCTTCTTTGGGCAAGAAGGGACAGAATGTTTATTGTTGAAGGATTCTCGATAGCACTGTCTAGAGGTATCTTCGTCTTGAAGTCGGTTGTAGATATGCTGGAGGAGGATTTCACAGTCAGACACACGAAGCTGTTCGCCGTTCCAAATTCAGGTTTGTCAGACAACCACACCCGGCTGTACGTATCCACAAACTGCTTCCCGTCTTCAATCAGCTTATTCAACTTCTCATCCACAAATTCGTCAAAGTATCCCAGAAACCTGTCTCCTCTATCAAGACCCGTGATGTGCACGAGAAGGATCCCTCCCTTGGAGTTCCTCAATGCAGTCACCTTCTTGACAAGTTCCTCCGACTTGTTTACCCTCTCCTTCTTCCTCTCTTCCTTCACCTGGTTCAATATAAAGGTCAAGGTCATAAAGGGTTACAATCTACACGATTTTTAGAGAATTAGTACTTGTATTTTACGCTGCAGAAAGCAATGTCCGAGGTGTATAACGCCGGCAGTGACTAATCGAATACGGATCAGATTAACCTGCACTCGAATGGTCTTACAGTACAATGAATCACTGAATGCTTACACTTTAGTTACTTGTCAAATATTTTGTTACCATTAAAGTTAGTAACACATGCAACGAGACCTCACGAAAGCGTGACTTCATTCAAAATGGCGACGACTATCAATTGATAGCATTCTATGTCTCCGGGATAATTTGTTTCGAGGAAGGCAATGTTTTGCAATGCTTGTATATATGACGTGAGGAAAGTTGCTATGGGAGACGTTAGACATTTGTCTTGATCCGGGTTCTCTGCATGTGCACGTACATGTCTGTAAGTGTAACGGAATAAGGACGTATTGTCATGACGTGAAATATAGGTGTATCATCTCTGTGTTACTATCATCAGACAACAGATACAAAGGTATCAAACCTGTTTTTTGTTGGGTTTGTTGTTAAGGACGGTGACGGCAATGTCCATACACAGGAAGCAGGACTCCTGACTCCTGACCTTCACCTTGCCCAACACGTCCTCACACTGAGCACAGAATCCTGCAAACACAAAGGTCAGTACAGCAGTGTAACGAATAATACTGAGTCTAGGTTTACTTAGACTGGTCACAAAGGTCAATAGAAACTCCCTGTATAATGATCATAACCTGTCCGGCGTGCTGGAACTAGCAATTGCCAGACGTCCTTATCGAGCTCAGAGACATGAACTGGTCGCACAGTCGAGATTAGTTGACCCCTTCAATGATTAAAGGGACGTCTGAAGTCTTTTCTAACACAGACTTCCGTTAGAAGAAACACTCATTACCTACTCTTAGAACCACCGAGGTACCACTTATGCAAAAGATAAGACAAGAGAGATAGTTCTATGTATATACAGCGTTATTTATCAAACTTTATTACATTGAGGGGCGGTGGGGTAGTCTAGTTTAAAGCTTTCGTCACGCCGAAGGCCCGGGTTCGATTCCCCAACACAATGTTTAAGCCCATTTCTGGTGTCCCCGCCGTGATATTTGGAATATTGCTAAAAGCGGCGTAAAACTAAACTCAGTCAGTCAGTATTACATTGAATGATACTCTTGTAGAACTAGATACACGACTGGTGCCGGTATCCAGATTGACACGTCCAGCAGCAAAGAGGGTGTACATCTACAGAACTGCCTCCCTTGTTCATGTTACCAAAATGAAACTAAAAAATATTGAAAGACTGAGGACTCTACCACATCTACTGGACCGAATGTATCTCAAAACACGGAACGTGTAGAAATACACACACATTTACTGCGCAACTCAGGTAACTCACAGTCAAGCCTGAAACATCCCGGACATGCATATCTTGCGGGTAGGGTAACAGTTTCCGTTGTTCAACATCCTGCGTAAATCAGGAACTAACTCAAAATATATCAATGCTGATTAAGCTTGGAAATACGTCAGGTCACGTTTTGTTATCTCCACAAAAACGCCAGTTCAAGATTAAACTGGTATTTGTCTATACATCCTCGTTCAAGATTAAACTGGTATTTGTCTATACATCCTCGTTCAAGATTAAACTGGTACCTGTCTATACATCTTGTAAAGAGCGGCAGATACGTATTCTAAAGGAATGATTCGTCATTGAGAGATTATGTCACTGGAGATCCTGAAAGTCCTCGTCTTAATTTCATGTTTAATAATTGTGAGGTGGAATTTCACTTTCTTGTGTCACCTTGAGCAAATAAGTTAACTAAAACCACAACCTCCCCTAAAACTGAAGGTTTGACGTGATGAGTGTCTGGCTAAAATACGTTGTCAATAAACACAATGTCCTGCTCCTGTGCCCCGTTCTACAAATTGATCTTTGCTCTAAGGTGACCGTAACTCCCATACTTCAACATAGGCTTACGATCATCATAGTGCTAATATCGCTTTGTGGAACGGGTCCCTGTTTTCATAAACTACGTGTCCAACAGGAATCACAGCACCGTTGCGTTATCGCTGGGAACATGACCGTGCACCCAACAAAGGATGACTATCTTCTTAATCCTTTAATACTGGAATACTACTTGACAAGAGGTGCCAACACTGCATGGCGAACATATGCGCCTACAGCTGGACGGAGCATGATCACTTGAAAATCTTTACGCACGGTTGTAACATACAGCATTGGCTGCCACCTGAGTAGTAGTACTTTATTGCTAAGAATTCCAAAGTCTCACATAAACATGTAAAGTATATAACAACAAATGTGACATTTTGTAATATTAAAACATACTCATCCTAAAAATATTACACAATACAATTTGTAATGTATTTATAGACGGCATAAGTCGATATCTCCCTTTGGACATGTGAGCCGGGACTCATTTTAGTCTACCTCAGACTCTCGTTTACAGAGAACGAAATGTTTAGGAGAAAATGCTTAAAATTTAGAACGTTTGTCTTGTAATTGTTAAACATAATGTTATCTCATCTTGTGAAACACAAAGTTCATATCTTCTCACGTAGTTGTATCATTAATGATATCAACTTTACAGGTCAAGAAATATGGAAACATGTGATCTGACAAGCTAAGATAACACTGCTCTGTCACACTACGGCAGATTGTTCAGTGTGTCTTCAGGAAATACCTTTCTCTGTAACCGAAAGTTCTTGATATTTTAATTATTCGTCTGTTTTCTTCGATCTTTCAGGATATATTTTTGATTATATTTTTATTGTATCGATTTTCGTTTCGTTATTTCAAGTTTATTACAATTATTAAATTTCGTTCGATATTTTACCGTTGTCTGAAGTTTCTTTCAAAAATCGAACGATTACTTTAATGTTTTTTGTCTAAATTTCGTGTATTTTCTCATTACATCGATTATATGAATATTTTGATGCAATTAATTATGGGATTAAACAGGAATTTGCAGTCTGTATTCTGCATCTGCGGCCTGGTATTTCACTATAAAACAAGCAACCCCGGTATAACGCGAGTGTGTTGTTGTGTTCAATGTTGTTGTCAAGGTGAGAATGGTCATTATTGTATGGATATAACATCCTCGTCTTTAAACACATAACGGTAAATAATGACATCAATATCACCAACCACTCCTCCGCGGTGTATACATCGAGGGCGAGTCGTGTTGCCAACAGGAGTGGCTTGTTTCGTACTAAGACACTACCATGTATTGAGAATGGATCACACACACGTGAAATCAATGTTTTAGAGAGACATGCGATTCGATTGATTTGTTCAAATATCACAAAAGTCGTCAGTTCAGGAACTATTGTCACGAGTTTACAGTATCTTTATCAGATTCCCAGGGATCCTGTCTTACAGGTGAATTGAATGAGACGTGAGTGGCGACTCGGATGTCCAGGGAGGTGGTATGCCCGTGTAACGTCACACTGACCGATACTGAGGAACACCATCCAACACATGCGCCATATCACCGATCCACCGTGCACCTGCCAACCACGGTCACGTACAGTGTACCCGAAACCTAGCCGGAACGACATTTAGACATGTTAACCCGCATTGACTTAAAGTTGGATCTTGCTGAAGAAAAGAATGTCTCTTGCGAAAGTATTTGCAGTCATGAATCAGATATTCAGAAATGTCACAAATTTGGTTCCCTGACGATAAGATGGAGGAGAAAATGTTACATCCCGTTAATACAATACGTGATACCACAAGCATCCTGTCTAATCCAGTGTAGCAATTTATCTTATGACTAGATTTACCCTGGTCCCTGGACTCTAGATCCTAGACCCTGGACCCTCAACCCTAGATCCTGGACCTTGGACCCTGACCGTAGACATTAGACCCTGGTCCCTGGACCCTAGATTCTAGACCCTGCACCCTAGATATAAGACCCCCTACCCATGACCCTAAACGCCTGTCAAACCTTCGCGGGTGTAATGTCGCGATCTTGGGTATCACCAGTCTCTGTCGCTGCTCACTTGAAATCAACAACCAATTTAATTTGATTGGGTAGCTAATCAACGGACACAAATTAGA